TCCTATTTCTGACATCAATTTGTATTTTCCACCCCAAATCATGTGGCTGACAGGTCCGAGTGCACTTAGAAGGATGAGTGGAACAGATATTATAAAGAAAACTATTTCTAGGGAAACTTGGGGTAAATGTTTGCTCTGCTTCTCACTGCACCCAGCTTAGCTGGATATGGTTTGCAGATAGCATCTCCTAAGAGTTAGTAGACATCTAAAGGAGCCTCAAGCAGAGGAGCTAGAAGCAGGAGGTAGAGTAGGGCTCATTAGCCCAGGTGGGATTACATCAACTCCTGTACTGGAGTGAGAGCTGAGTGTGAATGCCCTGCCTTCCCACCTCCTTCTCACCTTCCCCATTATCACCATCCATTTGCACCTCACTCCTTCTCTCTCACCTCATTAGCACAGTTCCATTTCAAGATCAATTGAAGGAGAGGTGTTACCAACAATCTCTCACTCTACTACAATTCCTCCTTCTTTTCCCTCCCTCCTCCCCCAGCCCTCTCCTTCTCTCCTCAGTGCTGATGAAATTTTTAACTCCCTAATGATAAATGGTTTCTATAAAATAAGAATGTTAATGTATTTAGATAAGGTAATATATTCTTTTTCTTTCTTCCTTTTTTTACAAGTTTTTTTTTCTGAGATAATGTCTCCCTATGTAAATCAAACTATCCCTGAATTCAGAGAACTGCCTGCCTCTACCTCTGCCTCTGCTGCCTTAGTGCTGGGATCAGAGGTATGCACTACCATGCAACCAGGAGGTCCATGCCAGGCCAAGAGATACAATCTTAAAAGAACTTTAAAACATCAAAATAAAGAATATTCAAATGTTTCCCACTCCAAAAGCAATGAGAATAATAAAACTCCATTGTGACGCCAGCAGCCAAAATTTTGCTTGGTTATTTTATATTCTGTTTCCTCTACTATTTGTGGAGGAATTTTTCTATGCTAGTCACAGTGCTATATGTCAAGGGATGTAAAAACTGGTAAGGACAGGGTCCTGCCCTCTAGAAGAAAGCATCCGATGGGAGCAGAGCACCAGAGATACTGTGCATCAGGAACCTTTGCATGGTGATGCTTTTCCTCAGTAGGATACATGGATGAATGGAAGGGTAGTGTCAACACAGCTTTGGGAAGGCCTAACAGGACTTTAGGCCAGACTACATGTCACAATCTCTAAAAGCTCTAAGGCCAACTTCTGCCTCTTTTCTCCCTTAGCACTAACCCCACATGGTTTTTGTACTGTGTTGTTTCCTGGTGGGCATTTGAAATGGTGCAACTTACATGTGCAATGCCCTCAAGCTTTCTGGGTTGAAATCCTACTTCCATCACTGTCGAGGAGAATTTGGACAATTACTTTACCTTTTTACAAAGTTTATTTACTTCACTATAAACTAGAATAAAAATATTGCCCACCTAACTGGGGCCTATTAGGAGGGATAAATATAGAAAAGTATGTTGAATATTTCAGGAGAACCTCCCAACACCAAATGATGGCAGCCATCACTAATTCTACAATGGTCAGAAAAACAAATAACAATCATCTTTGGTCCTAATAAAATGTTGCTTTTAATCTTTGGTCTTATACTGGTCAAGTCACTGCCAAATATTTGCGAACAAGCCCTTGCTCTCTAGCACTGGGTTAGGAAATCACCCCAGGCATCCTGTGAGTGCTAGCTGAGGAAGGAGTGTCTGGGTACCACCTTCCCCTTACCTGTTACTGATTCCTCTGCCTGCTGCTTTCCCCTCCCCAGAGCCCTGCCAGCTACCAAGTGGTCATTTCACAGCTAAACTCACACATGGAAGACCTCAACTGGCTCATGACCAGGCAGAAAGGGCAGCTGTTTTACAGCAGGCTTGCCTTCTGGTCTCAGACCGTTGGGTGTTCTATCTGCACCCTAGACACCTCCCTCGGCCTGAACATGTTTCACGTTTGCACCCCTAGAATCCCAGAACCCAGGAGACAGAAGCAGAGTCATCAGGAGTCTGGGGCCATCCTTTGCTGTGTAGCGAGTTTGAAGTCATTGTGAACTACATGAGGCCTTGTCCTAGAATTAAAGTGGACATGAGGAACCTCTAAAGAATTACATAGTATTTTCTATGTTTTCATGAAGGAAAACTTTGTATGAGTGTGTGCTCAGGTGTACTTTCATGTTTGCTTTTTGTTGCTAGAGCAAAGAACAAAGGAAAAGTTTAAGAGAAAGGAATGTTTAAGTCTACAAATGTTGTTTTTAGAATTGAGTTTTGGGGAAATATCCAAAGATAAAATACACACACACACAAACTCTTAATGCTGAAGTATCAAATTTACATTCCTTATCAGCCTTCCCAGTGCTTAGATTCCAGACATATGCCACTATGCCAGGCAGGCCCCAGGGCATTAAGTGTATTGACACAAAACTCCGCAGGGCTGATGGGTTGTAAGATGACAAGTCATGTCAATCATAGGCCTATAAAGCCTGTGCCTTTTGAAAATGGTCAAAAGAGCATTTGAAAATGCTTTCTTTGAGGGAACATTTATTGAAAATCCTGCCTTCCCAGGCACAGATGGATCCAATTAGTTTCCTTCCTTTCTATTCATTCAGTTCCTGTCTGGAAGGTGGGAGGGGTTATTTATATATGTGTGAACTGGAAGAAAGGAGGCCTCCACAGCTTGCCATCTAACTGCACGCAGAATTCTGGCACCTTTTGCTTGGCCCTTGGCTGCTTCCCCACATGGTGTCTGGTACAAGAGACATAAAATTATGAATAAACCAATAATTGTCCCAGCTTCTACAGTGCAGGACACATGTTTTTCATGAACATTACAATTCAGTTTTTTTGAATTTGAGAGAGAATTAAGCCTGGGTTCTGACATTAATTTCCACTTGTCTTCCTCTTGGCAGAGTGGGTTGTTTATTCCTGTCACAGAGAAGCATTAACTCTTTCTTCATGTTTTGCAAACCTAACTCCCTTTTTGTAAATAGAAACCCTTGCTGTCTTTACCATGCATTTGTGTGGATTCCAATTGATAATTCCAGGCAGCTTATGTTTTCAGTCATTTTCTGTGGTCTCTATTTTGGGGTTATGCTAAAAAAAAATCAGTTGTTAGATGCAGCCTTTCTTGTTTTTCTTGTATTTCTTGGACACCATGGCTTTGTAGACATTGGTGCTCAATAATACTTGTATTTCAAGTAGCTTCCCTAAAACTCTAGGGTTGTTTTCTTCTGTTAGAATTCATTATCCAATATCTGCTTGCCTCACCTCTTACTCCTTTTCCTCTTGGAGTAAGCTCCAAACATACTACCTTGCTGCTAGCTCTCAGTATGCTAAACTTATAGTTTCACACCAAGTTTTTAGACGTAATAACCATTTTCAAAAATATTTTGCATTTATTTGAGCAATATTGACAAATGTATCTCTTAAATATATATTCCTTTCTTGAAGGACTCCATCCTGCATGGACAATTGCCTGGTAGTTTTCCCCATCCACTGACATTTACTTTGGAAGGTTAAGTAGAGAAACTTGTGACACGTGTAGGAACTGTGAGGACTTTATTTACCACAACCACATAGGTGTCAGGACTACTGACAGATGAAGCTCAAACTAAGGACAACAGAATTTATTGAAACAAGCAGAGTGTTGGGATATAAAGTGACGAAAAGAGACATCAAGAATGACTGTCTGTGGTAGTATTGCTGCACTGACTTTTCAGAATTCTTTTGAAGGCTGACTGTGGTGTTTGAATGCAAATGGCCCCCACTGGCTCACAGGAGTGGCACTACTAGGAGGTGTGGCCTTGGAGGAAGCACATGTCCCTGGGGGTGAACTCAGGAGCACGAGGTCTCAGGAGCTTAAGGCAGGCCTAGTAGTTCACTCACTCTTCTGCTACCTCCCAACCCAGAGAAGCAGAGAAGCCATCAGTCTTCCCTGCCTGCTCTGGCCCCTCCTCCAAACAGAGCACGTGATCACTTTTCCCCTCCTTACTACTTTCTCTCCTATCTGCTCTCAGTCTTCCAAAACCTCTGTAGTTAATTTTGGTCTGCTGGTGGCTAACTCCATCCTCTGACTCCAAGCAAGCTTTATCTGTCAGAACACTATCAAAATATCATACAGCATTTCCCCTTTTATATAAAACAAAAAGAAGAAAAGATTTCTGTTAGGCATGACAAGCTCTGTCCAGAAGTGAAACCACAAATGTTATACGGGTAACCAATAGCTTTCTGATGGGATTTCAGACCTGTTCCACAAGGAAAACACATAATACTATGAATCTGGCGAAGATCGATGATTTCAGAGTTCAGAGGCCCCAAAGTAAACCTACTACTACTATTACTATTTTGCTAAAGGGACACAGTACCAACTACCTTCTAAATCAATATTTCTATACTCACAATTAGCACAGCTCTCAAACTTCATCAGAGAAGTTTCTCACAACTGACCAAAGCACAGAGAATAAGTGTCTGTGAATGAATTCCTTACCATAAATCTTACTTACTGGTTATCTATTACAACCTCTCTCCAAAAATCTCAGGTACCATCACAGAAAGAATATAAGAACCCACAATGGGGGGAATCAAAGTGAAACAAAGCCTTCTGGGCATGACAGGACCACTGGCCCTCATGAATTCAGATGGAGTTGCCTGCATAAGACTCCAGTCAAAATTTCAGCTTATAAGTAAGGGTTTATAAGCCCCTAACACAAGCTAAGGGGCCAATGACAGTTGATGCATTCTGGAGGAGGGAACGTCAGTTTTCTTTAATGGTGTGGTCCCTGGCAGGTCAACTATGCTCCTGGGAAAGGCTCCACACCCATGAGTATGGGGACCTCACAAACTGGATTCAGTACTGCTGACAAGTGCATTTTCTGAAATATACCCATTCCATTTCTTACAGGGTATAGTACTGTATGAAACACTGCTGACTCTTGAAATGAGCATTTTGAACCGACATTTTCTTGGGAGTCACTCTGTGTTTTCTCAGCCTGCTGATCATCACTATGTACAAAAACAACACAACAATCTAGAGATTATTTCCATTCAAGAGAATTTATTTTTTGCTTAAAGAATACAAACTAAGCTTTAAAACAACACTGCCAAAGCAGCCCAGGGTTGGTAGGGAAGCTTTCATAGGCATTATAGGCATCTGACTTTTCCTAATCTTTTCTAGTAAAATTAGGATAAAGAAATTTCAAGTAAGGATAACACCTATGCTGCAACTGCCAACATTAGTACAAAATCAGTTGCATACACACACAAAAATTCCTGAGCAGGAAAGCAATCTTTACCTCAACAGATTCCAGTATTTATTCTTTGTTTTGAGGCTGGTCTATGTAAACCAAAGTGTCCTGGAAACCGCTAGGTAGCCCAGGCTGGCCTTGAAGTTATCATTCTGCCTCAACTTCTCAAGTGCTGAGATTACAGGTGTGGACCACCACACCTAGAAAAGTTTTTCTATGTTGTAGCAAATACTTGAACAGTTTAAACATATGCAAACTAGCTGTAGGGCCTTGTAAGCTAGACTGTCTCCCTTTGTTAAACACAAGTAAATGATCTGATAGAATCATAACAGAGAAGCAATACATGAGCTCTCAAATTAAGGGAGAGAAGCCAAGCCCCATAATCAATCAGAACCCTTTAAGCTATCATGTTTTTATACTGCCCTTTCCTACGTGACTGTGTTCTTGAAACACTACAATTAGCAAATCGTTCGAAGAAAAAATTAATTCAAGATAATTAGGGGGAAACATACAGTTTCACCAAGTTCAGTCGGAATGATAGAGTCAGGGTCTTCTTACTTCTTCAAAAAATATTGCAGTTGTTGCTGTAAGAAAATAATCTGCTCATACTTCTGCTTCTCCTGCAACTTGAGCTGTTCTAGCACAGATTGGAAATGACTCTTTAGGGTCGCGTTTTCCAATTTTCTGAGGAGATTTTTCTGGCGTCGTGCTTTGGCCTGGATCTGCTGGAGCCTTTTCTCCTTGTGATGAATCAGCTTCTGAATTCCCAAGATCACTGAACTACAACCTTCCTTAGCTTCGCACAAGTTAAACTCAATAAACTTGGCTTGCAGCTCCCTTTCCATATCTTCTTCAGACTCACTTTCCTTCTCCTCATCTTCATCATCTTCCTCGTCTTCACCATCCTTGTCTTCATCATCATCATCCTCGTCTTCATCCTCATCATCCTCGTCTTCATCATCATCATCCTCGTCTTCATCATCATCATCCTCGTCTTCATCATCCTCTTCGTCTTCATCCTCCTCATCTTCATCTTGCTCGTCATCGAGACAGCTGGAATCACAGAACGTGCTCTGAGGCACAGCACATTCGAATGAGCGAGGGCCACTCATTTCGGTGGATACCGGCGGCCCTGGGATACAGGTTTGCCCCTGGACGGCCTTGGTGGCACCGTCGACAACGACTTCCCATCGGGTGCTGATGGCTTCGGCGTCTGACCGCAGGAGTCTCTTCACCTCCTTTTCCACCGCTTTAGAATCAATGCAGCCGCTGCCGCTGTCTTCGCCCTGCTTCGTGTCGGGCAGCTTTCTTGTGGGTACCCGAAACCGTTTCTTCCGGACGTTCTTGAGTGGTGGCGTGACGCCGTGCTTCCAGATGTAGTTTTCCTCTGTTTCCCCTTCCCGGCCCCCCGTGGCGGTGGCGCGGGCAGAAGCGGCCGGCCCTTCCGGGGCGGAGCGGAGGCCGCCCTCGGCGCTGCACAGAAGCATCTGGGACACGTCTGCTGTTTTATAGAAGGTTTTCCTATCGTGGGTTTTCAGGCTCCCGATGACACAGGGCAAGTCGACCACCTTGGCCGCCAGGTTAACGTTATCCACCTGAACGACGGCGCGCCGCGCATCGGGGGACAGGTCGATCTTCAGTTTATCCCTCGTGGCGGGGTCTCGGGAACGAATGATTTCCCTGACGGTCGAGGCCTGCTCCGCGGGCAGGCGCAGTATGAACTGGCTCTCGAGCTCGTGAGGGCGGTCGTCTTGCTTTCTGCTCATCCCGGCTCTCTGGCCTACTCGCGCCAGGGCTGACGAGGCCGTGGGGCCTGGGCTCGACCCTCGGCCCTGGGGGTCCTGGAAAGGACAAGGCAGGGTTTGTGCTCGCTCGCTCGCTCGCTGGGGGCCGTTGGTGTCAGCGAGCGAGCACTGAGGGCGAGGAGGCCTGGGGGGGGTCTGCCCTGGCACCTTCGTGTTCTCTCTCTCTCTCTCTCTCTCTCACACACACACACTCACACACTCACATGCACACACACACGCGCACGCACACACACTCACACGCACACACACGCACACACTCACACGCACACACACTCACACACACGCACACTCACACGCACACACTCACACTCACACGCACACACACGCACACGCACGCACTCACACACACGCACGCACACGCACGCACACGCACACTCACACGCACACACACGCACACACTCACACGCACACACTCACACGCACACACACTCACACACGCACACACTCACACGCACACACACGCACACACACTCACACGCGCACACACGCACACACACTCACGCACACACACACTCACACGCACACACACACTCACACGCACAGGCCGCGGGCCTCCAACGGCTGCCTCGCACCTCTGCCGGCCTGCACGGCCTGTGGGTGCCTGCACGGCATGTCACGCGTACGTCTGTGCCTCCGTAGTCCCCCCCACGGCCCCCACAATCGCCCGAAGTCGTTCCTCACCTCCACACGCCTCCGTTGGCTGCTCAACCGACAGCCGCGGGCCTCGAGGCAGCACAGGCGCCCGCACGTGACCGGAACTTTACTTCGAAAAGGGTCCCCAGGTGGGCAGCTGGGCGCGCGTGCACGAGGCACTTCCGGCCAGGAGCCCCCTTGAGGAAAACCCGAAGCTTCCCCCTGGGGAGGGGGCGCGCTTCCGGGCCGCGGGTTGCTTCCGGTGCTTTTCTTTTGGGTGTGTGCCCAGCCTTCTGTTTCCCGCTGTCCACCACTGCTGCGGCATGGTCGCTGGCTCCCTGGGCCCGTAGCGAGTCCTCGGCCAGGACTGCGCCTGCGCTGCAAGACTCTTGGCCATGTCCACAGAAATCGCCCCCTGCTCAGCCTGACCCAGTCCCAAAGCCACAAACGTGGGATGGGGGTGCGGACCTTTCCTAAACAAGTGTTTCCTCCTAGTATGCGATATAGATGTCAACCTAAAAATTGTATTTAAAGCTGGGAGCTCTTTGCTTGTAACATGGCTTGTAGACATGGCACAGTGACGTTTTACCCCCAAACAGCCTAGTGTTGGGTTACAGAAACGAGGATACAGTACTCTGTTTTGTCGTCAAAAAACAACCACTAAACTCTGGAAAACCGCACTGGGGGTATACAAATGTCCAACCTAAAATCCCTGTATACTTGTTTCTACACAAGCCTTTAGAGCAAAAGAGAAATGAGAGGGAGAGCGAGAACGAGCATGAATCTATCATCCAGTGAGGTTATTGCTGCTGTTGTTTTCCTTGGAAAACAAGGACAATCTACAAATACACAACTTTTCACTTTTCATATACCCTGACCCTTTAAATAAAATTTAAATTTAGGGACAAGTACATTTTATAAATGCCAACAAGACACACAAATGCATTGTGTGCTACTGCTGAATGGAATTTTAAACACCTTTCTGCTATCTTAAATAAAAAAACAGTATAGCCGTCTATTAATTTTGCTCACCTACCTAACAGCAGAAATAATTTTGAAGGCTTGCTACAGCCCTGTTCTTCATAAAATAAGGTATGGATAAACTTTGGTCATTGATAGCTACCTATTTATGAGTACCATAAAACATGAAAATTAAATCAAGAAGTTGAAGTTGATAAAATAGAATTATCTATAATCCTTAATTTTAAAAAATCTGGATCACCTTTATTATTGAGTTTGTAAAACTCAAACCACAACTGAGGAAATGAAAATAAATTATTTTAAATGGTGATGAGGAGGAGAGGATCTCATGTAGCCCAGGCTAGCCTCAAAACAAACAAGTAGTAGCTAAGGATAACCTCCCAGTGCTGAGATTACAAATATGCAGTTACTAAATATGATTTCTCTGGTTGCTAAGCATTATTGGAAATAGATATCACTCATATATATATATATATAAGAAATTGCTACTATATAAAGTTTTGGTCACAAGTCAGATTTATTTAAAGTGTATTATCTGTGTAAATATATATACATACATACATACATGCATACATACATGTATATGTATATATATCAACAACAGAAAGATGACCCAAATGTAATCAAAAGAAAGGTCCAAGGCCCAACACCATCAAACAACAGAACTTAGCAATGTTGATCACCTAGAGTAAAGGATACAAGAAATGGGTGTGGAATCTCCCTCCATGACTAAGGAAAGCTGCTAAGGTCAGGCATGTGTCAGGAGTGTCCCTGCATGGAGGTCTAGAGAGGCTCTTGGTGAAGCTGTGAAATAAAGCCAGTAGTGCTTAGGAGACCCCAAGATTTTAAAGATGCCAGTCATGTGATACCTACCAAAGAGAGCTGCACTCAGAATGTGGGACCAGACCCAGAGAAAGAAGTGTGTTTCAGTCAGCAAAGTTGGGAGGAGTTGGAGTTCTGAAGAGTGCTTTAACACAAAACATGGTGATGCAGAGTTTGGAGTTTTCAGCCTGGCTCTGGCAGTTCCTCATTACAATCCCTTTGCCCCCTTTTTTGGAACAGTAATGTATATTCTATACTATTGTGTGTTGGAAGTACGTGAGACATGTCCTGATGCTGCTCCAGTGCCGGCTTTCTTGCCATGATGCTTCCCACCATCAAGATAATGGACCAAACTTCTGAAACAGGAAGCAAGCCTCCAGTTAAATGCTTTCTTCCATAAGAGTTTCCTTGGTTATGGTGTCTCTTTACAACAATAGAGCAGTGACCAAGATTTTTTAATGTAACAAATAACATTAGTTTTTAAACAGATATAAAATTTACCCAAAAAGAAAATTCTAAAAAGTCAAATGAGAATAGTCATAAATAACATTTCTACTGATCTTTTTCCTCACTTTAATGGATCCTATTATATGTTCATTGTACTGTTCTGTCGTCAGGCCAGTACTTGCCTTCAAGACGGAACTGTCTCGTGCTTTATTATTTATTCTAGCCTACTGGTATTTTTGGTGGTGACTACTACTATAGTAACAGACTTATTTACAGTTTGTCTTTCTCCAGGAATGTGCCTTCATTTTCGTATTTGTGTATACACCTCAGTAAAGGTCATTTTCTTGGGTTGCATTATCCATTTCATATTTGTTTGTGAATATTTGTCTGCCACTGCACAGCAGTGAGTTTTATCATTTGTAATGAAACTCTAGACAAGATGCTTCCAGATACATCTGTGTTACAGATAAAGAATGGTGTGTTAAAGAAGTGGCTAAGTGGAAAACTATTTTTACCACAGGCAATACCACCCACCCAGTCCTTCTTGAGAGGAGGATTTCACACGCTAAAAAGATAGAGATAATTCAGGAAAGAGCATCCTTCTAAATGAGTCGTAATTTCACGTTCAATGCAATGTGATAAAGAAACAGGAAAGAACCAGCTAAAATCTATGTATGCACCTGTCATGCAGTTATAAAATTACTTCAGTGATAACACATAGAAGATAGCCACAGTATTCACTGCTTGAAGGCAGAGCTTATGTACTTTTGCTATATTTGGAACAAATGTTGGTAGATTAATGAACAGGGATATTTTTTCTTTTTGAGTGTGTGTGTGTGTGTGTGTGTTACATGCATGCTCAAGTGTGTGTATACAGATGCTAGAGGAAGAAATTACGTGTCTTCCTCTATCATTCTCTGCCTTATTTTTTCTGTTTCTTTACATTTGTTTATTCAATGTGTCTGTGGATGTGCATCTGTCTGAGTGTACTATGCATGCATATGGAAGTCAGAGGCGCCGTATGTGGGTCTCAGGGATAGTACACTGAGATCAGCAGGCTTGATTGTAAATGCTTTTACCAGCTGAGCCATCTCATCCACCTGCCACCTTTTTAAAAAGTGTATATTATTTAGTTTTTGTGATTGCAATTGCATTGTTTCCATCTTCCTGTTCCCTTTCCTCCATCCAAACCTTCCCATGTACCACCCTGCTTGACCTCTTTCAAATTCATGGTCTCTCTCTCTCGTTTTAATTGTTGTTGTTGTTGGTGGTGGTGGTGTGTGTGTGTATGTGTGTGTGTGTGTGTGTGTGTGTGTGTATGTGTTCCTAAACATATAAGTACAACCTGTTCATATTGTTTGTATGTATGTTCTCAGGGCTGACCACATAGTATTGGATGACCAATCAATGTACTCCTCCCTGGGGAAGAAGATTGTCCCATGCTCAACATTCCTTAATTGCCTGTAGGTTTTTGCTCAGGCATGAAGCCCCATGAACTTCCCTCCTTCCACAGTAGCATGTCTATGGGTGTCATCCTTGTTCAGGTCATGCTTAGGCAACTGTGTTGGTGAGACTTTATGGGTATAGTTTCTGATCTTCCTAGGAGACACAATCTCACACAATAGCCCTAAGGGTGCAGAAGGGGCACACATACCTTGATGGTAACCAAAAGCTCACAAGTTGGGGTTAATACCTGCTCAACAAGAGGGAAAGCATGCCTGAAACCAGAAACTTACGCAAGTACCCAGAACTAGTGAAGTCCTGAGCTGGAGGAGAACCTACCACAGCCACTTTACTAAACCAGCACAATGCCTAATTGCATTCTAAATATTTATCCTTATTCCCACAGATAAATGTGGTTCTCGCCCCCTCATCAATGAGATTTTTCTTTGCAGCAAAAAGAGACCATTACAGAAAACCACAACTAATCAAATGCAGAGATTGTGGAGTTCAGTCCCAACTGACACATCTGCAACAAAACCCTGCACCTGAGACTCAGGGATCATTGCAGAAGAAGGGACAGAAAGAACACAAACGCCAAAGAAAGAGATTTCTCTAAGATGGTATTGCTGTATTTTTCAGACAGACTCTTTCATGACCTGGAAGTTCCTGTTGAGGTTGGGTGACCAGTGAGTTCCCAGGGTCTGCCTGCCTTTGCCCTCTTACCTAATGTTCAAATTTACAGGCAGGTGCAGCCAGTGTCTGGCTTTTTACATAGATGCTGGGAATTTAAACTCAGGTCTTTCTGCTTACACAGCAAGAACTCTTATCCACTGAGCCACCTCTCTAGTGGATAGATTTTTAAGTGTTTTTAATATTTTAGTCTTTGATAATTTCATACATGGAAACAATGTATTTTGATAATTTTTGCCCTACCCCACTCCAATTCCTCCTATGCACCCTCCATGTTCTCCTTCTAACTTCAATATATACTTATATGTGTGTATGTATGTATGTATGTGTGTATATTTAACTACAACTACCTCCCCATCAATTGTCAATAGCTCCTCTTTGACAAGTAGAGGTTTCTGTGCCCCTCTCCATCCATGCTCAAATGTCTACTAGCTGGATCATGTGCAGACAACTACAGCTGCAGGGAGTTCTAAAGAGTGGAATACCCATTTTCCAGCTTCCATGAAGGTAATTTCAATCAGAACTAAACCTGAACATTTAACACATTTAAGCTACTAGAAATTCTACATTTTCTTTAGAGTCTCAATTTTCATGATGCTCAACATCAAGAAGTTTCATATGCATACTCTTCATGGTAATGGAGAAGTAGATTCTAAGTCTTGAGTCCTGAGAGCTAACTAACTGCTATCAGATTAGATGAGAGGCCCACTCGTCATGAGGTAGCACATGCCTGGTACTGTAAACCCAGTCAGAAGCCCATGCCTAGAGCAA